GGCTGTACCATATAGCCTAGGTGTGTGGGAGGCTATACTATCTAGGTTTGTGTAAGTACACTCTATGATGTTTGCACAGTCACAAAATTACCTAATGACTCCTTTCTCAGCAAGTATCTCAGATGTGAGGCGTGACTCTAGTAGTAAGTAAAATTTCTAATACTCTAACACTGCCACCTGGTGGTGAAAACAATTAAAGCAGTTTCCAACTTCCTAGCATAGGTTGCCTTACATGAAATGCTCACTTGCATTTCCCCCTAATTAATTACACAAATACAGCTAAGCAATTATGAATTTTGCTTGATCCTGCTTTGAACCAAACACAAGGCATATGAGAAAAAGTAAGAACAGAACAGTACAAACTTCGAGCCCCTGAAGGGATCTAAATTTCGCTAAAGTACATAATTCATAATAGAAGTCTCTTGAGTACCTATTCTGTGATAATATATATTTAATAGCTTTATATTTTTGAAACATATAGCTGATCTTATTCTATTTTGAAGAACAGGTTCTCCTGATGCCCTTGCTCTGATGATTCATTCTAGACACTATTTCTTTTTGCTTTTCAAATCAGGATTCAATAATAACTTAAGATTAGGTAACAATTACTAACCATTTACTGTTCTTTTCAAGAAAAAAAGAGGGGCTGTACAGAAGAATTGGCTTTGTTGCTTTTCCATCTCATGTTATTTTCTAGGCCTTCATTTGGCACCCCTCTCTACTATTTGCTATCCACCATTAGGTATGTCTTACTACAAGTTCAGAAGTAATGTGGGCATAACATGCTCCACAATAAGCTAGAAAAAAATTATATCAAAATCAACTAATTTGAGAGCTGGACGACACCTTAGAGGTTATCTAGTATAGATCACACCTTGTTTGTGTTTTCAAAGGGGACGATGGGAAATCTTAGAAGAAAGGAATTGTTGAATTGGCTTTTAGGGGATGGTGGTCTGAATCAGCAGGTTCTCATTATGGCTCCCTGTAGCCTGCAAGGATGTGGCCAATGTTGGGTGTGGGGGCTGAGCCTGAGCCTGGGCGAACATGCTGATTGACAGCTTTAACAGTGATTCATTTTTGTCTTGGATCCCAGGCTCTCAAATGTTCTCAACCACAACATCATGACAAACTGGTGTGTCGAGCTGAGAGGCAAGATGTACTGAAAGTAATATGTTACTAATAATTATAGTCCCATTGTTTGCAAATACTTTCCCTTAAACAGTTTCAAAGTAAGAGAAAAGTTGCAGGTACAGTCCAAAGAACTTTTTCCCCCCAGAAAGTAAGTTGCCAACCTGATGTCCCATCATCCCTTAATACTCCCATGTGTTTTTCCAACGAACAAGGACGTTTTCTTAGATAACATCAATACTGCTGTCAAAATCAGGAAATGAACACCAATACATTACTACTATTTTGGCCTCAGACTCCATCCAAGTTTTGCCAGATGTTCCAATAATTTCCTTACTAGCAAAAAGATTCTGTTCAGAATCAAGCAGTGCCTTTAGCTGTCATCTCCTTCTAGTCTCTGTCACTCTAGAGCAGTTCCTCAGTCTTTCTTTGACTTTCATTACCTTGAGACTTTTAAAGTTTGCAGTTATTTTATAGAATGTTCATCAATTTGTTTTTGTATGATGCTTCCTCACGATTAGATTCAGATTATGCATCTTTGGCAGAAATATCACAGATGCGATGCTGTGTTCATCTCATTGCTTCCCATTAGGTAGTATATAATTTCAATTTGTCCCATTATTGACGATCTGCACATTAATCATTTGATTAAGGTGGTGTCTGCCCATGGTGTTGCCTTTGTAATTAGTGAGCATTTTGCGGGGGAGACACTTTAAAACTATGTAAATATTCCATACCTCATCAAAATTTCAATTTATTAATTTATTATTTTATATCAGTGTGGACTCATGGTTTTCTTTTTATCCAATGGGCTTTAATCTATCACTATAATTATTTATTTCGATGCTCAAATTATCTCACATTTGGCCAATGTGGGCCACTATAAGCTGGCTCTATTGACATATCCTCATTATCCTTGAATACTTCCTTGCTTTCTGGCACAAAAAATTTTCCAAACTAATCTACTATTTTCCCTCTTCCGGCCATGAGATCAGCCATTTTTCCAAGGAGCTTTGGTTTATCCTAGAGGAGAATGTTATTTAGAAGCCAAGATCTGAGCGATAGCTAGAAGTTGTATGTATGTATGTACATAGACATATATGTGTATATATACACTGTATTGAAAACCATGAGGTCATGCCAATCTTTCTTTCTTTCTTTTCTTTTTTTGTGAGGAAGATCGGCCCTGAGCTAACGTTGGGCAATCCTCCTCTTTTTGCTGAGGAAGACTGGCCATGGGCTAACATCCATGCCCATCTTCCTCCACTTTATATGGGATGCCGCCACAGTATGGCTTGCCAAGCGGTGTGTCGGTGTGCTCCCAGGATCCCAACCGGCCAACCCCAGGCCGCTGCAGCGGAGTGTGCGCACCCAACCGCTTGCGCGACAGGGCCGGCCCCACGCCAATATTTCTAATTTCAATCTAATACCACAGAGTCCACTCCAGTTTTCTCCCTTTTCATATCTGCAGCTCTCTTCTCTGACAGTGAGAAACCTGGCTCTTCTTTTCCTTGCTATGCTTATTTCATCGATCCATCCCTAGGCAACAAATCTCCCACCATCGCTGCTGCCTCATGTCCTACGAGGATGGCCTCCTCACCCACTCAGACCACACCCGAGCCAGCTGTCTCCTCTGCATGGACACCTTCCTCACCCTACTCAAGGCTGACACCCCATTCTGAGCTACCAAGTCCCCGCCATGTCCCTGGACACAGATGTCTACCTTCCTTTGACTTACCTAATGGCTTTAGGACTGAAGCGTTCAGGAATAGAAAGGAAAGAAAGGGAAGGGAAAAGGAAGGGAGAGTAGAAAGAGCTGCACACAATTAAAAAAAGAAAAACAAATTATAGCAAATTCTCTTTCACTCACTTGTGTTCTGATGTCTTCTTTCCCCACTAGCATGTAAGCTCCATGAAATGGAGTCTGTGTTATTTACCATTATATGCCTAGCACTTAGCATGTTTCCTGACACAAGGTAGGTGTATTTAAAACTTTTTGAATAAATGAATAACATAAGAAAAAAAGGAGCTTTATAGCTAACGTGTTGGGAAATGTACATAACCTACACCCCAACATATCCAAGCCTTAGCCTGAAATCTAGTGCAGTGTGTGGCACATAGTAGGTATTCGAGAAACTCTTTGTCAGTGGATAGACCCAAGGAATTATCTGATACATACATTTCATTGGTTGTATGTGTCACAGTGGGGGAAAAAAGCTGGGAACTATGGTTTTAAATGGTGAAACAGGTTTACTAAATTTTCAAACCATACCAGATGAATAAGCTCAACATTCAATTTGAACATAACACAACATTTCACAAGTGTTTGTTAAATTAGCGAAGTGCAATTATCAGAGATAGAAATGGAGTTGGATAAATTCAGGCTAGTACATCTGAGGAGGAGAAAAGAAATTGAATAATTTATATACAGGGTAAGACTGGTGCTGTGCACACACAGAAAGAAGAGCTCTGTGGGCCCCAGTGTAGATAACACACTGATGACGCAGGAAGATGCTGAGGGCTTCACTCTGATAATAACCTTAAGAATGTGTCCTCATTTCTAGTTTTAGTGACAAAAACGGTTCACACAGTTCACCAGCTTCTGTTTACTTATTACTACACTTCCTTATTTGTAGGCAACGAGTGCTTTTCTGACTAAAATAACTCAATTACCTCCCCCACCCAGGTAGAGTGTGAAAAACAGGTCAAGCTGAAATATTTAGGCTATTTTACGTCAATGTGCAAGATGGATGGTTCATCCATTCAACAAATATTGATTGTCTACTCTGTGCGAGGTGCTGTCTTGGGTGCAGGAGGTACAATGCTGACAGGGTGGATAGGATCCCTAGCCTCATGGAGCTTGCAGCTTAATAGGGGCCAGAGTAGAGGGGCACAGGGGCGGATACAGGGATAGATCATAGAGCTAGGCTGTCTGAAGCAAAATGGGGACTTGGAGGTTTTGGAGCAATGAATCAGTCCTTAAGACTACATCACTGTTTTTGCTTGAAATGTTCTAACTCCACAAAACACACTTCCCTGAAGCAGGCAAAAGAGATGTGTTTGTTATCGACCCTGTTCTCTGCCCCAGGAGGGCAGGTAATTGGGCAGTAGTTACAATCTGCTGCATTCGATACCGCTCTGACCCAGACTAGTTAATTCTGTCTCGTCTGGGGCTCCGCATGTGAGGCAAAGTTATAAACTCTTCTAAAATAAGATATATGAGGAAAGGTTAAAATAATAGGCTAGAAGGAGGTTGCTGGTGATTTAAATAATGGCCTTTAGACCTTCAAAGTGTAAACCACCAATGTTAGGCCAAGAAACTTTTGGACTCTGGATTTGAGTCCAAAAGTATTTGAAACAGTCAGGTCCCTAAAACAAAAAGTAAGAATCATTATCACTGTTAGTACCACTGTGTCGATGCTCCAGTAAAACAAGCACACAAACACAACAACGTGCAGTATCAGGGCTGGGAACACAAACAAGCCCAGAAGCCAACTCAGATTTCAGTTTTAGTTTCTAAACTATTGCCAAGTTGGATATTTCCCATTTTGGATGTCAGGAGAAAGAAAAAAAGGTCCCTCGAGGCCACACGCAGAGGAAGTGCTGTAGACACAGACTGACTAACATTCTGTTTCCTGCTTTTTATTTGATTTAACTCTTTGAACAAAAACAGATAGAAGAATTGCTGATGTGCAGGCCAGCCTGATGCTAGCATATGTGGGCTTTGAAAAGCTCTGTAATTTCTGTCTCTTTGTGATTATGTGTGCTGCTGTATAAAGCAAGAAAAACTGAGCCTAAAGATGGGTTTCCCAAGTCCCACAGCCACAACCTTATCTCTGCCAATGAAAGCACTGGCCCCTGAAAGTCAGATATAACCAATCAATTGACATTTATTTTCTGCGACATGCCAGACCCTGGGCAAGGTGCTTTCTAACAAGGTGGAGCTGGTAGAGGCTGGGATAAGGGATATAGTCAAAACTTGGGGATCCAGCAGGAGCTAATGGGGATCACATGCTCACTCCCGGGACTGGATCTGAGCATTTTCATAGACCTTCTGAGTCCTTATAGAAAATAGGAGAATTTTGCTTCTCTTTTCTTTCCCATTCTTGTTAGTTCAAGTGTTTTTCGTGCGTCCTAATAACCATATATTTCATTTTCCACCCATCCAGACTCCTTGCTCCTCCCTGTTCGGTCTGGGGAGAACTCGTAAATGTCATTGGTCACAAAGCCACTCTCCATGCTCGCCAGAGTCACGAATCCACTTTCGGATGGGTTCACAGCCATGTTGTCATAGTCACAAGACACATCATCGGGAGTGGCTTCTCCGGAACACACTCGGAATGAAATGTTCTTCAGGTCTGGCCGGGGCTCCGCTAAATCAGCTTCACTTTGTTTTCGGATGACGTTGTATACCTCTAGGTCTGGGCTGTTCCCTTGGTGAGGAAAGGGCCAGGTGGTGTGCTGCTCCTTTGTGCCGGGGCCTGGCTGCTCCCGCTTCCTAGGAGGAAAGAAAACCAGGGCTGAATATTTTAGACAAGGGGATTGAGAACATCCCTGTGCCTCCTGTTCAGGCAGGAGGAAGTCATCCTGCGCCATCACTGTTCTGCACTTGTCACCTACCTAACCTTACAGGTCAGAGCTTTGGGGTGGGGTGGGGTGAGGTGACAAAACAGGAAAGTGTTGTTATGTTCAAAGTGATTGTGTATCTGTCATTCACTGCTGCCAACGCACAGAACAGAGGTGGTTATCCTGGGGTCCCCAGAGCCCCCAGAGGGTCCATGGATAGGACTGGATGGGGAAAAATATCACATTTTTAAAAACTCATCTGTAGGTGAAATTTAGCCTGTCCTTCAATTCTGAATGTAGGCAATAAACCAGAGTAGAATTAGTAATATCTTTGACTTGATCACCAACAGAAATCATAGATATAATTTTTATATGACATCACAATTATTATAGCTGCCTTAAAATATTTTATGCTCATCCCTACTACAAAATTATGATAATTATACTCACCACTAAACAAAAAAGCATGAATAAAGAAGCACATGTATTACTGTATCACATATTCATTTTTGGAAATATTTTGCTTAACTATTTATCAGTACAGTTGCTTCATTTGCAATCCAATGTATTTTATTTTATGCATTTAAAAATATTGTTCTGGAAAGGGGTCTACAGGCTTAAGCAGACCACAGGGGTCTGTGGCACAAAAAAGGTTAAAAACCCCTGAGATAAACTCCAGCCTCAGAGTCACAATTCCCAAATCCTAACGAGGTGCTAAATAGGTAGAGAAAGGCAGAGAAATCAAGAAGCAACTGCAGAGTAAGCAGTTGGAAAATATATCTGTAATTTTTTGAACTGAATTCTATTTTTAGATTAAAAGGAATTAACTAATAAAAATGATCATGGTAAGAGCTAACATTTTTGAGTGCTTACTATATGCTCGTTCTGCATGTATTAACTGCTTTAATTCTTCTAATAATCCTATAAGGAAGTTATTATTAAACAAAGTAGGTTTGACATTGGAATCTTACTAATTCATCTTAAATTAGCGTTCAAAATGAGTCAAATCTTAAATTGGACTTTAGTTTTCCTGTTGTAAAAGCCTTTTCTATGTAAACCATGATGATAGGGAATAAAAGGTTAGCCGAGAAGAACTCTGGGTACCTCAAACGTGGTGGCACGTGGTCCATAAATAGAGGTGCTCTAGGCTACTTAACGTAGCTATTTTGTAGCATCTACAATTGTGTATTCAATTAAAAGAAAAGTCAATTAAAAGGATTCGAATTATTTCATTTTGAAATTAAGTGATTTAGTTTTGGATGTTTGTCAGAATGCTTTGGAAGATTTTTCATATGGCTCACTATTCATTCCTTCACTCACCCAAGAAAAATTTTTGGAGTGAGAGCATACATTCATGAGAGCACTTTGCTGAGTGATGTGTGGACACATAGGAGGTGAATAACACAGTTTCACCCCTCAAGTCATTTCAAGTGTTCCACGCAAAAAAATTAAAGAATATAAGATTGAACTCTTAATCACAACTAAGCACAAATGCTTATTACTTCCGAATGCCCTAGCCCATCAGAGAATTTACTCTCAGATCTGTGATGGTGCTTCTCTTGGAGCTGCCAAGCCTTTAATGAAGTAAACAGGGCAATGTCCAAATCCCAAAGAGTTCAGAAGACACAAAGGTTTACAGGATGAAGGTTTTACTTGCCTCCTTCTACAGATCCAAACCCAGCACACAACTGTGGTGACCACAAGGAGGAGGAAAAGAGGAACACTGGGGATTAGGATGTAGGCAAGATTCAAGGCAGCTCCTGAAAAGAAAAACGCTCATTATCAGCATTAGTGATGTTTTTATGCGCTTCAGAACAGGCTTAAAAAAGCATAATCAGCACACAGTGTTCCGAAGAGCACATTCTTGGAAGGAAATACATATACAGTTACCCACTTGGCAAAGTCTTCTGGTTTCAATAAATGAGCATTTCCTACCTGTCCTATTATCTGAAGTAATAGAGAAAAGATGTTTACATTTTTGGGTCTGTTGCAAAATGTCAGAAGGGCACTTTTGTTCATGAAAATTTTTTTTTCAGAGGAGAGAGATTCTCTCTTTTCTTGTTCTTCCTCTCCCTTGATGAAGCAGGGGCTGCCTGGGCAGTGTTGATGTCTTTGACTCTAAGGACAAAAATGGTAGTTCCCTACCATTTTTGGTAGGGGAAAGGGAGGGAAAAAGAAGCAAGCCAGAAGTCTTGGTGTTGTTACCATGACAGAGAAGGTCACATGAAGCACGTGAATCAGACTCTAGAGCCTTCCGAACATCTCTAAGACTAACCGGATCCAGCTGGGCCCACGAGCAGTGACTGTGCAGGGTGCTTAGAGGTCTGCTTTCCTGATCTTTTCTGTCCTTTAAGTCTTAGAACCAGAGAATTTTCCCTCAAGGGGCTTTGGGAGGAATGAAGTATTGGAGACTGACTGCCTTCCTCCTCCCACTGGTGCCAGATTCCCAACCATCCAGGGGCTGTTGATTTGTTTTTTTTGTGAGGCTGCAAACCTGACAACCACCAAAAAAAAAACCCCAAACCCAAAACCAAAATAACAAACAAACAGAAAACCCCCAAACCAAACCCACTTTAAATACCACCAGAATAACAAAGAGAAATAAAAATGCCACCCACTTCTGCATAGTACTGTGTACTTTTTTCAAAGCATTTTCACACATTATGTCTGTTGTACAAGAAAGAATTTGACTGGCCTTTGTCCCTGGTTACTGGGAGGGAGGCTCTAACTCTTTGGAATTTCTCAGGTAATATTTCCTGAGCCCCTCAGACCATCCATATCAGACATATGCTGACAGAGATGTCTCAGGATAGGGGCTAGTGGGGAGGTAGTGGGGCCTAGAGATTGAATTCAATTACATGGCCAATGATCAAATCAATCATGTCTAAGTAGTGACACCTCAATAAAATCTCTGTACACCAAAGCTCAGTGGAGCTTTCTGGTTTGTGAACACACATGTGCCAGGAGGGTGATAAGGCATCCTGATTCCACAGGGAGAGGACACAGAAGCTCCCCATTTGGGACCCTCCCAGACTTCACCCTATGTGTTTTTTCATTTGGTTGGTCCTAATTTGTAACCTTTATAATTAAATGTAGTCATTAGTATAGTGTTTTCCTGAGTTCTGTGAGTTGTTCTAGGAAATTATTGAACCTGAGGGTGTAGTGGGGCACGACCTGGGTTTATAGCCACTTGATTAGAAGTGCGGGTGGCCTGGGGACCCCGAACTTGTGGCTGATGTCTGAAGTGAGAGCATTCTTGTTGCAGACTGAGCCCTTAACCTGTGGGGTCTGCATTGACTTGGAGTGGCTAGTATCAGAATTGAATTGTAGTATTGCAATATCCTATTTCATTTTATGGACACGGTAATGCTCTCAGGTAGATAAGAAAAATATTATTACTTCCATTTTGCAGATGACTAAATTGAAGAACAGAGAAATTATGTGGTTTTCCCAGTGACAAAAACCCAGATCTCCCTCTTGAAACTCAAAGTGAGTCGAGGTTGAAAGTCCATTAGCACTCCAATTTATTACCACATTTTCTTTTATATTTTATGATTTGACTTTTAAAATGTTTTTGCCCATTTCCTCTATTTGTTTCATAAATGAATATTAATCACGGATATTATGCATCATGGCCTGGGCTGTTCCGCTGTTATTTTTCTACACCCATTCTCTCAGTTCCCTACCCCAACCACCTCCCACAACTTCTGGGTAGTTCCCAAGGCTCTGTCTTCACACAGATTTTTCACCTTCTCTCTAGTCTAATCTCCCCAATTATCTTAGGATAGCTCCATTTGTATATTTCACTGACGAACTCTAACATTTAATGCAGTTTTTGCAAAGTCATAAATGCCCTGTCTAGTTCCATTTTTAAGTAGCTGAGGGAAAGAACAAAGTAGAAATGTAACTAGGGGTAATTTGTGATCAAGAGAGTCCCGGTATCTATTTTTCCCTGGAGAGTTCTGTACATACCTTTGCTTTCTTTAAACGTTTCTTTGGCATCTTCTTTCTCTATGTCTTCTGGAAGCATTGGTGTTGCTGGCTCTGTTCCTTCACCTGGAGAGAGACACACGGACTTGAGAAGCTGGAGAAAGGCATCATAATCCAGATATTCTCTGAGGTCCTACCAGGTTCAAGGTGGGGTGTCAAAAAGCATAGCAATTTGACCAGTGCCTTTATAAACAGAAAAGTAAAGGGTTGAGTTTGCTGGCCTAGAGGTTTAGTTGTCTTCGTCTTTCTGGCGGGACTCTTGCTGCCAAGAATCATGTACAGTCATGTGTCGCTTAATGACAGGGATACATTCTGAGAAATGTGTTGTTAGGCAATTCTGTTGTTGTGCGAACATCACAGAGTGTACTTACACAAACCTAGATGGTATAGCCTGTTACACACCTAGGCTATATGGTGTAGCCTATTGCTCCTAGGCTACAAACCTGTACAGCGTGTTACTCAACTGAATACTATAGACAATTGTGATACAATGGTAAGTATTTGTGTATCTAAACATATCTAAACATAGAAAAGGCACAGTAAAAATATGCTATAAAAGATAAAAAATGGTACACTTGCATAGGGCACTTACTATGAATGGAGCTTGTAGGACTGGAAGTTTCTCTGGGTGCGTCAGTGAGTGAGAGGTGAGTGAATGAGAAGACCTAGGACATTACTGTACACAAATGTAGACTTTACAAACACTGTACACCTAGGCTATGCTAAATTTATAAAAAGATATTTTTCTTTCTTCAATAATAAATTAACCTTAGTTTAACGTAACTTTTTACCTTATAAACTTTTTAATTTTTTAAAACTTTTTGACTCTTTTGTAATAACACTCTGCTTAAAACACAAACACATTGTATGGCTGTAAAAAAATATTTTCTTCCTTTATATTCTTAATCTATAAGCTTTTTTTCTATTTTTAATTGTTTTTTCTACCTTCTAAACTTTTTTGTTAAAAACGAAGACACAAATACACATATTAGCCTAGGTCTACACAGAGTCAGGGTCATCAATATCACTGTCTTCCACCTCCACATCTTGTCCCACTGGAAGGTCTTCAGGGGCAATAACACATGTGTTGCTGTCATCTCCTATGATAACAATGCCTTCTTCTGGAATATCTCCTGAAGGACCTGCCTGCGGCTCTTCTTGAGGAAGTGTCACTCTTTTCAGAAATATGTCCATGGTGGTTTGCTTGGTTTGTTTCTTTTTCTCATCATAGATGTGCTTGTAAGCAGAAAATGCACCATGAACATTCCTCTCTATTAATGAAAACCTTTTGGTGTTGGGGTCCATGTTTTCAAAATTTTTAAAGAGCTTGTTGAGGTCTGCAAAAGCTTCTGGCAAACTCTTCACTGTGAATTTTCTTGGGAGTTCTTCTTTTTTCTTCTCCAGCAGTTTCCTTTTCTCTTGCCTCTTCTTCAGCTATGCATTTCTGTTTCAGTTCCAACAACTCCTCATTAGTCAATGCATCAGGAACCACCTGTCGGAGTTCCTCAATGTCATCCTCATCCACACCCAGGTTAAAGTTGTTTTCCATCTCAACCACAGCCTTGTTGATTTTTGCAAGCTCCTACTCCTTGGCAAATCCTTTGAAGTCATGGATGAACCTCTTGAGTATCTTCTTCCAGATGCCATTCATATACTCCTTGGTGACATCACCCCAAGCCCAAACAAGGTTCTTGACGCAGTCATAGGTGTTGTAATCCTTCCAGAATTGCATCAGTGTCTTCTCAGTGTCTTCCTCAGTTGTAGCAAGAGCCTGGGCAAAGGTCGTCCTCAGGCAGTAGACCTTAAAAGCTGCTATAACTCCTTGATCCATTGGTTGGATCAAAGAGGTGGTATTTGGAGGAAGAAACACTGCTTTGATATTGGGATGAAGATCACCAATAAAAGGAGGATGTCCAGGAACATTATCAACAATAAGCAAAATCTTGAAGGGTATGTTATTCTCCAAAGAGTACTTCTCCATTTTGTTGGCATAGCAATTCAAGAGGGCATCTTGGAAGAGGAGCTGGGTCATCCAAGACTTCTTATTTCTCCTGTAGTACACTGGTAGTGTGTGCTTATTGATTTGCTTGAAGGCCCTGGGATTCTCACTGTACCAGATCACAAAGGGTTTTAATTTGTAGCCTGCAATATTGCCCCCAAGCAAGACTGTTATCCTGTCCTTAAAAATCTTGAAACCTGGCATTGACTTGTCTTTTTTATGGATGAAAGTCCTTTCAGGCATCTGTTTCCAGAATAGGGAGGTTTTATCCATATTGAATGTTTGTTCTGGCAAGTAATTTTCCTCCACAATCAGCTTATCTAGAGTTTCCAAAAATTCTTCAGCTGCCTTCACATCAGCACTTGCAGACTCACCACTCACTTTCACATTATGTCATGAATAATGATTCTTGAATCATTTAAACCATCCAGAGCTAGCAACAAATTCAATATCATAGTCAAGTCCAGCCTTTTCTTTCAACGTTGCTAACAAACTTTTTGCTTTGGCTGTGAGTGCCATGGTGCTGTGAGGGACATGCTTCTGCTTCTGGTCTTCGATCCAGGTCATTAGAAGTTTCTCTATGTCTGATATAAGACCTTCTCGAATTTTTCTTCTTCTTGTTATCTTCAATGAAGTGGATCCTTTAACAGCTTCCCTCACTTTGTTCTTGTTCTTCAAGATCGTAGCTATGGTGGAATGGGACATGCCTGACTGGTGAGCAATAACCATCTCTGATTTTCCACCTTTGTAGTCCTTAATCAATTTTAATTTTGTTTCCAGGTCAATCATTTGACGTGGCTTCTTGCTGATAACAAAAGCAGTGGATTTTGTGTGCTTAGGGGCCATGAGGAACAACACAAGATCAATCAAGCACAAGAGAAAATGATGCAATCAAGAGACGCAGTATACATGAGATGGATGAGGCTGCTGATAGCATAATACAGCATACTGTTTTTCAGTAAACTTTTTATTTTTCTTATTTTACTAAGGTCATAATATAAACTTTTTATAAGTAGAAAGAGTACACTCTAAAATGATAAAAAGTATAGTATAGTAAATACAAAAACCAGTAACATAGTCATTTATTATCATTATCAAGTATTAGGTACTGTACATAATTGTATGTGCTATATTTTTATAGGACTGGCTATGCAGTAGGTTTGTTTACACCAGCATCACTACAAACGTGTGAGTAATGCATTTGCTACAATGTCATGATGTCACTAGGCAATAGGAATTTTTCAGCTCTATTATAATCTTATGGGTCCATCGTCATACATGTGGTTTGTTGTTGACGGAAATGTTGTTATGTGATGCATAACTGTACTGAAACAACCAGCAGGCAGCTGGCATCAAGGCACATAAAGTACTGAAGGAAAGGGCCAATGACTCACTTCTAGGACCATAAATTATTGGTTTGGCTCACTTCTTGTCTCATTAGACTGAATTATTCCTTTCATAATGTCAATAATGACAAGTAAAATCCCAAACTGAATTTGGAACTGTTGCTTTTTGGGTTTGAGAGAAATAGGCAACACTAGAGAGTGAGATTAATGAACTACTTGTCACAGTCGGGTATGGCATACACCTGTCCAAATGGTCTGGGTTAACACCAGTGGTCTTTCTGTTGAACAGTCTGGTCTAAAGAACATATAGTTCTAAACCTATGAAGAAGGGCTGTGAAACAGCCCAAATAAACTGAAATCTCAAATGACAGGCTTACCTGTAGGCCTTGTAGAAGGAGCTGTTGGTTTCTCTGTAGCAGAAAGAAACAAAAATGAAAATAATAGCTAATTTACATGCCACTTGAATGAAATTGGCCAGAGCAAGGCATCCATTCATTTGCTCATTCAGTCATCCAATAAACTTTTTTTTAGTGTTACTAGATGGCAGGAACTGGGTTAGTAAGTCAAAGGAATCACTTCTGCACAAAGACTACCCTTCCTGTAGCTTTACTTGGGCACTTTTTTTGTTTTTTAAAAAGTATTTAAAAACATTTAAATACAAGAATTTCCAAATACACACACAATTAGAAAGACTGGTATAATGAACCTCTATGTACCATTACTCAGATAGATTCAACTCTTATCAGCCAGCGTACCGCTAATCTAGTTTCAACAATAATCCCTGCTCCTCCCCAACTATACTCAGGCCTGGATTATTTTAAAGCAATCCAAGACATTTTAATAATTCCTGTTGGGGATGTTTTAGAAAGCAACAAACACTGATCTCCAAGCAGTGAAAATGGCTGGGGGGCTAGGTAGACCACTGGCCAGCCCTAAAACAGAGACTGGTGATCTAGAACCCTGAGTCATTTAAAAGATTTCAGAGCCTCAGGAAAGTCAGGTTGCGCAGACAACCTATATCAAATGCTTTTACTTTTGGCTGGGAGTGTGTCAGCCTCTTGTATTGGCTGTGAATGTCGTCTTATGCTAATCAGATGCTCTGGGATTCATGGGGATGGGGTCCTTAAGGGCAAGATTTTAGAATTCACAGTCCTAAGGCCAGGATGTCAAGGCTATTCTGAAGTTTCATTCAGAAAGGAAACTTTTAATCATCTTCCCATAAGTGTGTGTGTGTGTGTATAGGTGATGCAAATCCATTTATTTATTTATTTAGAAAACCACACATATGTAGTGCCTGCTACATGATAAAAACATCATTATGTTCTAAGTGTTTTTTAAAAATAAACACAATTTATCCTGATAACAGCCTTATGAAGTAGGTGCGATTATTATTTCGATTTTGTACACAAGGAAACCAGGCACAGGGAGATTAAATAATTTGTCCAAATCTCACAGCTAATAAGTAGCTGAACTGGGATTTGAACTAAATAAATTCAAATGAAAATTAAAATTGTAAGGAGACAAACTCTGTGCTAAGTAGTGGAGATATAATAGCACAAGAGAAATAGTCCCAGCCCTCTAAGGCTGTTACACTCTACAGGATGGCCATAAAATATGGAAATGGAGGACAATATTAATAAATATTAATTTTGTGATATTACATTGTAATACATAGTATATTCAATAACATTACATGATCTATTCATTTTCTTGTTCCTCCATGGTTCAATCCACTGTGCAAAACTGCGGTAAACATGGCACATTAATGCAGCATTTCCATCAATCCCTGCAATGCATTGCCTCCGACGATGTCTTTGATTTTCACTGAATATGTCTATGCCTTTAGCATACCCCATAAGTAATCAAGTGTTCAGATCTGGCTAGCATGCCACCCACTCTGCGTGGTTACATTGTTAAATCTAGTTTTAGATGTTAGACAATCAGTCCCTTGCCCCTCTGGCATAATGGATGGTGTGCCATCCTGTTGGAACACTGGATGACCTTTCCCTAGCCCATCAAGTGTAGGGATTAATTGGTCAAACGTGTGTTTCCACACCTTATGCCAACCATGTAGTACAGGGGACAAACTTATAAATAGGCATTTAAAGTACTGTGTATGTGAGGTGCTATGATTCTTACAGCAGGAACACCTAACTTAGTTTTGATGGGCCTTGGAAGGTTTCCCAGAGGAAATTATTTTTTAATTTCTTATTTTGAAATAATTTCAGATTTATGAAAATTTGCAAGAATAGTACAAAGAATTCCCATAGATCCTTCACCAAAATGTTATCATTTTATCATATATCATTTATTTAATTATTCTTTCTCTTTATATATATCTCTATATATTTATATCTATATTTTTATCTATATCTGTATCTATACATGTATATGTATAGGGAACACATACAGGCACATGCATAACTTTTTTTCTGAGAGTAAGTTGCAGACATGGTTACCCTTTACTCCTAAGTACTTCATTGTGTATTTTAAAAGGTTGTGTGTGGGGGTGGGCGGCGGGGGGGGTGTCATTCTCTCACATAACCACAGTACAATGATCGAAACCAAGAAATCAACATTGTTATCCTATTATCTAATCTGTAGACCTTATTCAAATTCTGCCAATTGTCCTAATAATGCTCTTTATAGAAAACCATCATCACCATCTTCATCATCATCATCATCCAGGATCCAATCCACGATCACCTGTTGCACTTAGTTGTTGTGAGAGAACGTGATGTTTAACCTGAGCCTGAAAGGTGAGAATGAGTTGACTGGGAAAGAGGAAGGGTGTTCCAAGCACAAGAAACAGCAATTAAGCGCTCTTGGGGAACTTCACAGAGTGCAAAGGGGAATGGGATGAGGGGAGGAGTGGGAGTGGTGAGAATGGAGGCTGGAGAGAGGCAACGGTCTGGTCATGCCGATCCTTGTACAGCATGCTAAGGTATGTAAACTTATCCTGAGCATGGATGGCCACATAAAGGCAATGTGTTAGTTTTTCTCCATGTGCCCACCTCCCTCTGCCCAATTTATTCTCTGTTCTTCTCTGTGTCCTGGGAGGCTGACCTCTATGGACTGGTCTTTGGGGCTCCCTTGTCCTTTGGCTTCTGACTGGACTTAACCAATGGGTGGCAGAGGAAGGAGATCAGAGGGCAGGGTAGGAGTATTTATTCCCTAGACCCCCTGTGGTTTGACAGTAGCTGCATTTTATGTTTACAGCTCCTGTTGGGTGGCTTCTCTTCCATGAATCCAAGCTCTCTCTGGGTTCTACTAAAACCATTCTCTCCCCTCACTCCTTTAGGCCTAGGGATGGTAACAGCTTCCCATTGTAGCTAGTCCCTGGGCACTTCACTGTCCCTTGCCCTTTGCCCACACTTCTGCAACTATCTTTTTATTATACTCTCCTAATTATTCCCTTACATCTTTATCCATCTTTTTCCTGCCAGGACTCAGTCTAACACAGGTAATAGCAAAAGTAATAAAGCATATGATTTAAAAAAACCCAACTAGATTCAAAGTCCAAAAATAAAAGGATATGAAAACAACTGTCAAAATCTCACATTTCAACAAATGTTTAAAAAGTACAAAAGTTTAAATCATGGAACTAATAGGATAGAATTAACAAAAGTGATGGGAAGCCACTTTCTAACAAGTGTCTTGCTTTCGTTGCTCTGAAAAGGTGACCTGCTAAGCTAGCCTTGATCTTTGCAATCTCCCTTCCTAAGACAACTCTGTATGGTGTGGAGGGCCAGGTCTCTGGAGAGAAGAATTCATCTGAAGGGTTAAAGAGGGAGGAAAAACATCTTTTAGCAGCAAAAATTGCAGCAAAAGCATAGTCCAATTCAAACAATTTTAAAATATCAGGATTAATTAGTCCCCAACTAGATGTAACTAACTAGTCATTCTACTCCTATCAGGAAAGGATGCACAACTGAGGCGAAGCAGTGGGCTTCAGGGAGGTGAGCATCTTCAGGGTCAGATCAAAAATCACTTCAGGTTTAGATCTAAGTCAGTTATAATGGGCGAATTTTGGAAACTCAAGCAGAGGGAGACCACAGGCTTGTAGCCAATTCAAAATCCTTAACAGATCTAGAAGCAAATGCCAGTGGAATTTGCAAGGCATATATAGAGGGTGGCCTGGGGAGTTGAAGCCTGTTCATCAAAGTGTCTGCTATCTGCCCAATGCCAGTGAAATTGGTGTATTTTATCATCTACCTCCTTTGGTCATTAGTCTGTTTCCTTAAAGCCCCAGAAAATAATCTCACATGGCTGTTAGAAGACTTGCAGGAACAATGGCCAGCTTCCTTTCATATTTCTTCTTTATTCCAAGCTCCTAACAGCCAACCTCACATGTGGAAAGAATAACAATTTATGATTGTCCACTCAGAGGGCTTTTTGTTTCCTGAAGTTCTCATAATCCTTGCTTTATCATACATAAATTATACCTTTTCTTTTCTTCATCCCTTCTCTTAGCATCTGATACCCCTCTCCTTTGCTAGGAGTACTGTTCAACTAGGAAGTGTCACTATATTTCTCTTTACAAAAATTCCCAATGTTTAACGCTGCTGGCAATTGCAATAAGCTTTTCTTAAAGACCACATCATAAATTCTTGGGACTAGCAGCTGCTTATGAAACGAGAGAAGAGGTTGATAATTCAACCCCATAACTTGGGAGAGGATTCATTACCATCGGAATATTTGCAAATGAAATTGTTCTTCATGTTGCATCGGTCGTCATTCCACTGGAACATGTAGAGGCCCCCGATGCCGGCGGGTGCTGACGGCTGATGGTACATGACTACGCAGACCTCGCTGCCACAGGAAGGCTCATCCACGTACCAGTTCCTGTAGGAAAGAGATCAACGGTGAAGGCAACTGGAGAAGGGACCCAAGGACTTCAAAGCCTTTGTTTTTCCATCAAGGTCCACTGAGCCATGAACTTAAGATTCTGCTTCAGAACACGATAGACAGAGAGTGAGGAATTGAAGTACTGCCAATAAATAGAACCACACGCCTTCTAACATGGACATCACAATCAATCATTTGACATATGCCACAACCTCTTTGCAGGGAGGAATATATTACCATATGATGTCTGCAAACTAATTACGAGAAAAAGCAGCTAGCAGGGCCAGTCTGTACAATCTTATTTCTTTCTTGATTTTCGCTAACTGGGTTTTATTTCTCTTTTTTTGGAAATCGATGCACTGAGAAGAGGCATGACTTAACTCATCCAGAGCTTACCCTGCTCCCGTCTCCCCATGCTTTTCAGTGGCCATAACTGCCTTCCTGGCCCTGGGAAGTAGACGGAAAATTCAAGCATCTGAGCAAGACTTTCCAAAGTGTAGAGGCTATCAAAGCAGGTGAGGGGGGCTGGGGACAAGTGCAAGAGGCCCACATGGTCTTTTTCAGTTGTTTCCACTTCAACAGGCTGATGAGCCTCTCCGTCAGCCTCTGCTGCAGATTTCTTGTCTTTGTCTCCCTAGCTCCTGGATGGGCTGCATTAGCAGCCTCAGCTCCACGATCCAGTGGGACCTGGAATTAAGTGGTACTGCCACCCAGTTGGATATGTGGGTGCCAGGTTGAGGCTTTGGATTCCACAGAGACTCTAAGTGCTGCAAGCACTCCCCCCATGCATTGACTCAGGGCTGGGTTTTGCGGTCTGTCTGGTTACCTACCTGAGCTGTTTCCTGTTGGCCCTCAGAACTTCCCCTGATGCTCAGATTATTTAGCTGGGCCCTGCTGCTCTAACTAGCTCTTGTCAGAGCCCCTCCTTAGGAGACAGCTAAGAAGTCTCCTCATAGCTCCCCGGTATGGCTCTGCTTGAGTGCTACATTGTTGTCCACCGAAAGGAAGATCCTTTGCTGCACCCACTGGGTTGAATGTGCCTGGACAATAGCTGAGCTTGCAACACTGCTTGGACACCATGCCTGGACAGCTGGGGGCGCTGACTGGGGCTGGGCTCTGTACCTCATTAGTTACCTCTAGGCCATTTTCCAACTCCATTGGTGGACCTCCTACTCTGACTTGCCTTGTTCTCCCCACTGGCCTTGTGGCTTTATGTTATTTCATTTCACAGATGATAGAATGGATGGAATGTCATGCCTGGCACCTGGTTTCTGGACTTGAGCCAGCTTTCAGGCTCGGAACTCCCTGATAGAAGGAGAGGCCAGGTTCCCAGGAGGAAGGACCCTGCAACACCACGGCAGGTGCACATGGTAATAATTTTCCCTGTTCTCTCACAGAGACCTCTGGCCATTTACTCAAGTAACCATACACTGGGGAAAGAGGAATACCCAAGTATTACAAGCACTGTTGGACACAAGGTGCAAGTTACATTGATACCCAAAGACTTGAAGTGGTATGAAGGTTACCCATTAGGGTGGGAGCATATAGAGGCCAGGTATTAAATGGAATTCTGGCTCAGGACCAGCTCACCATCCAGTGGTCATTCCCCAGTTCCCAAATATACAAATTGAAAGCCTATGGAGCAAGAGCTATAATAATGAAGAAGGTCAAGTGGAAGCCTCTGAAACTGCACTCTTCCCCACCCTCCCCAAGACAGTAAATAAAAAACAATATCTTCTCCAGGGGAAAATGATAGAAAGTAGTGCCAACCTTAAAGATCTAGAGAATGCTAGGGTGGTATTTCCCATCATTTCTCTATTTAATTCACTAGTCTGGCTTCTGCAAAAACCAGGCAGATCCTGAAGGATGATACTGGAGTAGCATAAACTCAACCAAGTAGAAGCCTCAATTGCAGCTGCTATGGCATATGTGGTGCCTTTGCTACAGCAGGTTAACACCCCCTCAGGTACCTAGTATGCAGATATGGTGAACACTTTCTTTTCCATTTGTATCAGAAAGAGAATTGGAAACAGTTTGCATTCATTTGGAATGGACAACAGTATAAATTTATGGTCTTGCCTCAAAACTATGTTAATTTTCTTACCCTCTGTCATAACATGGTGTGAAGAGACATGGGCTGCCTAGACATCTTGCAGAAAATCACACGTTCATTATATTGCTGATATCATGCTAATTGAACCAGATGAGCAAGAAGTAGCTAGTACATTGGAGGCCTTAGTCAGACTCATATGCTCCAAGAGTTGGAAATAAACCTCATGAAGATTCAGGGGCCTGCCACTTCATGAAAAAGTGTAGGTGTCTAGTGATCTAGGGAATGCCAGACCATCCCTTTCAAATTAAAGAACAAATTATTGCAGCTTGCAATAATTTGAAGCATCTTGCAATAATTTGAAGAAGGAAGCATAGCATCTAGTAGGCCTCTTTGGGTCCTGGAGGCAGCATATTTCACACCTGAGAATACTGCTCTGGCCCATATACCAGCTGACATAAAAGACAGCCAGCTCTGAGTGGGGTCTGGAGCAGAAAAGGACTCTGAAGCAAGTCTAGGCCACAGTGCAAGCAGATTTGCCACTTTGGCCAAATGATCCAGTAGACCTTATTATTAGAGATATCAGTGGTGGGAAAAATAATGCCATATAGAATTTGTGACAAGTCCCAAGAGAGAATCACAATACAGACCCCTAAGATTCTGTAGCAAAGCCATATCATTTGTAGCTGAGAAATAGTCACCTTTTGCAAAACAACTCTTGGCTTGCTTCTAGGCAAGGAGCACCAAGAGACCATGCAACTCAACTTGCCCATCATGAGTAAGACACTGTCAGACACATCTAGTTGGGCAGGCATGGAATCAGTCTATTATAAGACGGAAGAGGTATATACAGGACTAAAGGGCATTGTATGAGCAGGATCAAAGGGCACTGTATAAATAGTAGAGCAGACTGCCATGACATCTACCACTGTTGTACCAGAGCCTCTCCCTCAGCTTACTCCTATAGCTGCATAAGGGAATCCCTGATGACTAGCTGATAGAGGCAGCCTGAACTTGGTTTGTAGAAAGAAAATGACTCAGCCAGTTGATATCAGCTGCCTCAGTGCTGGCACAATAGATACATACCAGAGTAGCCATGGTGGCAGGGATGGAGACTATGCATGGGCTCAACAGTATTGGGTCCTTCTCACCAAGGCTGATCTAGCTACTGCCAAACCTCCAACCTGCCAGCAACAGAGACCAACACTAAGTCCCTGAAAGAGCACCAACCCTGGGAGACCAGCCTGGCACTTGGTGGCAAGTTGACTACATTGGACTCCTTCCATCCTGAAAAGGGCAATGATTCATTCTGACAGGAATAGACACACAATCTGGGTATGAGTTTGCCTTTCCTGCCTCAGGGGCTTAGCCAGCACCACTATCCAAAGGCGTACACAGTATTTGATCTACCAGCACAGGATCTCCTATAACATCTCATTAGACCAAGGGACCTATGTTATAGCAAAGGAGGTGTGGGAGTAGGCACCTGGCCATGGGATTTACTAGTCATATCACATATGGCGCCATCCTGAGGCTGTCAGCCTGACAGAGTGATGGAAGAGCTTGTTAAACACACAGCTGAAGCATTAGCTTAGAGGCTACTTTGTGAGGACAAGGCATCATCCTCCAAGATGAGGTGTACACTTTGAATCAATGACCTTCGTATTATCCTGTGTCCCCAAGAGTAAGAATACATGGGTCTGGGAGCCAAGGGGTAGAAGCAGGAGTAGCCCTGCTTACAATCACTGGTAGTGACCCACTTGGGGAATTTGTGCTTTTTGTCTCTGCAAGGCTGGGCTCTGTGAATTTGGAGGTCCTAGGACTCAAAGGGGGAACACTGTCATCTGAAGACACAGCAAGAATCTTATTGAACTATGACCTATGGCTGCCACTTGGGCACTCTGGGATCCCTGTGTCTAGGGATCAGCAGGCAAGAAGAGGAGGCATTATTTTAGCAGGAGATAACTGACTCTAATCATGATAAAGAGGTAGGTCTGCTGTTACACATTATGGGCAGGGAGAAATATGTTTGGCACCCAGGTTATCTCCTTGGGTACCTGTTGGTACTTAGCCAATTTTGATGGTAAATGGAAAAGTGCAATCACTCCAGCCTGAGAAGTGCAAAGTGACTAGGGCTTCACACTCCTCAGGGATGAGGGTCGGGGTCCTGCCACAAGGTAAGCCATTGAGGCTCCCTGAGCAGAGGGTGAGGGAACTGGATAACAGAGGAGGGAGGTCAATAAGTATCAGTTGTGGTCCTGGGACCAGCTGTAGTAGTGGGGAGAGTAGTTCATCTTATTAACCTTCCTTTTTAAAATTTCTCCCATGAGAATCCTAGAGAAGCTACTCCTGGAACTTAGATGAAGATGTGGATCTAACTAGAATAATGGGTGGAATTTAATAGATGCTGACATGCTGTCTTAAATATAATTGGTAAAAAAGATATATTTTAATCTTCATTCTTTTGATTGATAATGAGTTTAAACTCTTTTTCCATATGATTGTTTACGAATTCGATTTTGTATTTTGTGAACTGTCTACTCAGATCTTATGCCTCTTTATCTTTTGGGTTTTTTTTGACTTATATAAACTTTTAGTGTTTTATTGACTTATATAAACTCTTTACCATAAAAAAGATACTCTGTTAAATTTGTTACAACATTTTTCCAGTCTTATGTCTGCCTTATGATTTCATATTTTTTGACATTTGTCCACGTCACTGAATTTCTTAGGGGGGGACAATGGCAATGCCATGGTGCAAGGGTAGGGTGTGGAATGAGTGAGTCTTGATGCGTTGGGCTCAGGAGGGTCCTACAAACTGCAGGCTTCCTTAAGTCCTCTCTTGGCCAATCCATAGAGTTGTATCTTGACTCTGATTTCTTGCCCATCATCATGATTCCTTGTGGTCTGGAGACCTATCTTGAGTCCTAGCCCCGCAGACCTTCAATCTCTCACTGGGGTTCTAGTCCAAAAAGCCAGACAGCCAGAACCACTGACTTCAAGCATCGCATGCCATTGAACAATGCTTCTGGGCCACACCCTCCTGAACAGAGCTTTTTGGACATGAGTTGGGCCCAGATCAAGGCTGACTCACCACACTGCTCCAGTCAGTGCTATTCTGGTGCTGCTATCCCCTCAGGGCTCTGCCTGGCTAGGCCTTCTCCTCTTCCCCACTGACCTGGTGCCCTGGATCCAGCCTGCCTCCTTTCTGAGTGACGTCAAGTGAGTTTGCCGCTGTGGATTCCACACACTTACCTGAATGTTGATGTGCTGCCATCCGTCCAAGCATAAAGGTCCTGGCAGGCTGTGCTATTGCTTTGTTTCTCCTCACGCCTCCTGAGCCCAATCCAGAAATCGCCATCAGATGCCAGGAGGTTTTCAATGAACTTTTCTATCAGTCTCTGTTCATCTTCAGACTCGATGCTGACTAGCTGGCCCCCATCCCTCAGGCAGGCTGCTCTGGCTTCCTCAAAGTTCAGTCTTCGAGAAGCATCATGGAAGTAAATGACTTTATAACAAGGCCTCTGCGTTCCTCCCCGGCAGACTGGCTGCCCTAGAGAAAAAAGAAGCCAACCTATTTCAGTGTCCCCCAAAGAATACCAGGGCAGCAATGCTTAGAGGCATCTGAACGAAGCTCTCCCTGGTCAGGAATTCTGATTACTCCTCAGTGGACTATTATAATGTCTGTTAGAGTTCTCAGAGAAAATTAATACTCCTTCCAGCATGGAGATGCAGTGATTTAAACTACATTGTGTGGGGACTCCATGTTTTGTTTGTTTCATTACAGATTCTTGCAAAGCAGACATTTTTGACCATCCTTTAAAAGAGAGATAGATGAAGATTTATGGTTTCACTTAAAGGCACACAAACATTCATGCCATTAGGGAGTCTCAGGGGATAGTGTGGCCTAAAGTGAATTATCTCTGTTTGGTGGTTCTTTCAGATAAGAGAGGCATTCTGAAGTCGGGTGTGGGCTCCTCTACCCTGGAACCCTCTGCCTATGTAGTAGGACTGAGAATTCGCCCAGTCTCTGGGATAAGCAGAAGCTAAGAGCATCAGATCCATGGAGTTTTCTGCTACTGATCTTGCCTGAAGACAGCATTTATCTCATTGAACTCTCATAGTAAACCCCTGATGTAGATATTGTTTATGCCCCTTTTTACAGATGAGAAAACTGAGGCTCAGAGAAATTAAGTAATTTGGCTAAGGTCACACAGCTATCAGCAGCATTGTCTGAGTCAGAACCCAGATCTAATTACAAAGTCACACCGGTAACCTCTGAACTATATTGCCCCCTCCTCACTCCACCCCAGGCTCAGGTGGCCCTGGTAGCCCATGTAATGTCTCGTCTGACTGACTGAAGACCATCTCAGACAAATGGCTAGGATTCTACTGAGGAGCAAATAACGAATCGTTCACCGGTACACACCACCCTAGCGTGTGTCCCCGTGCCCGTAGTTTTGCTGAAACATTAGCCTCATTACTCCTTTATTCAGTCAACGTGTACTGAGGCTACACTCTGCCTGGTGCTGTGCTAGGTGCTGGGAATACAGACACAAATGCCAGTTCCCAGCCCACAGGAGCACCCAGCATAGGTTTCTGGATCCAGATGTACAAAGCGAAAACCAAATTCAACCAGGGGAATCCCTTGCAGTGGAGAGCTAAACCGTGGGCTGTGGGTGTGAACCGCTGCCACAGAGCAAGGGATAAAGGATTTTGGTTTGGGAACCTCTTCCCAGTCCTCATGGAATGTTCTCATTTTCCTAACTTGTTTTGCAGCTGTGCAGGGAGCCAGATCGCATTCATTATTCCCAATACTGTCCAGAATACAGGGCAAAAGGCCACAGACAGCTGACTGCATTTTCAGTGCTAAATGGGAACAAAGCACATACGGATAATTCAGAAAGCTCCTGTGAATTCTTATTTTCTGTTTCTTCTTTCATTGCTTTTGTAAAGAAATTCTCAATAAGCGACAAGTTCTAAGAGTTTTGCATCTTCGTTCTCTGTCATTCTTCTGCTGTTGCTAAATAGAGAAACTCTAACAGGACCAGTCCATCAGCAAATTAGGAGGCCTCAAAAGAGAGACATTCTCACTAAGGAGGTGTTCCAGAGAGACTAGGGACCACTGGCCAGATAGGCTGTGGCTGGGATGCTGCCTGAGAAGAAGGCTGGGCCAGCCCAGCTTCTATGAGTCCTTAAAGTGGCTCCAAATGAGGCAGCAGAGGAAAAACGAATGAGCCCCAGGAACCCCCAACCTGGGCACCGGAAAAAAAAAGCTGAAGTTTAATTTACTGGCAGTCCCCACTTTTTCACCGTTGGATTATCAAGGGAAAACATAACACCTTAAATGAGTTTCCTGCATAGTCCAGCCTGGTCACACATCCCAAGTCAGCCGGTGAGTGCCAGAGAGAGCCAGAGCTGGAAGGAGGCCCGAGGGCGCATCTGGTTCCCCTGCCTTCAGGAAGTGTCTTTCTCCTCTCATTTGCAGGAAAGGGAAGGGCGGGAGGGACTTTTGTTCCCCACGATTGAGGACAGATCCCATACAGCCCTAACCCAAACAGCTTAATTCAGTTACTCTCCCCTTTGGCCGCCCCGCACCCCACGCCACCCTGAAACCAGCTTTAGATTCTTTCAATCAGCTTCGCAAGCACAGATAACGGAGCAGAGGTTTTCATTCTCCATCCCTCTTGTCAACCTGTCGCCTGTGAAGGGGACCTGAGAAAGGGGCATGGACATTCTCCCCCCTCCCCCGACATGCAGAACAAAGGGAAGAGGCAAGAAGCCAGAGCACTGTACCTCCTCTGACGTCCAAGTCCGAGGCTGCAGTGACACGACAGGAGGAAGGAAGCAGAGAGTCATTCCCCCAGTCAGGCGGGGCTTGTCCCGCGCTAACTAGGCTCCTTTCCGATCTCTAAGTGCTCTTATTCCAGCCATCCTCCCCCGCAGAAGAGACCAGGAGTAACGGGCTGGGTTCCCATGGCACAGCCGATACAGAATCCCTACTGTACCCGCCGTCTCCGGGGACAGGAAATCTCCCCAGTGGGCAGGGCGAGGGAGTTGGTGAGCCTGCCCTGCATGAGGGTCCCGGGGGCTACTGCGCCGCGTACAATGGAGCGGGCCGAGGGGGCACCTCCTGGGGCAGATTTGCTCACTGCCCCACCTAGTCGACGTCCCCACGAATTCCCGTAACCCTGGGCAGGGAACTGACTTCGAGCGATTCAGGATACGCAGGGAACCGGCGCTGGTCTCAGCCGCCGGGCGATTGCTTCCCTAGAAGCAGGGGGAGCCGGAGGGCTGAGTCCATTAGCGGGGCGGGGGCGCCACTCCCCCACCCACTTCGCGGAGGGCCAGAGAAGAGGCACGGTGGCCCTGAAGACAGCAGAAGCTGGGGTGCAGTGGGTGCATCAGCCGAGCCCGCCCGGGAACCAGCCCCCGCCCCAGCACGCGCACTCACCGCTTAGCAGGCGCCCCGTCGCGCCCCGGGGCCCCGCCAGCAGCACCGCCAGCAGCATGGCCTGCAGCGCCGCTCCTGGCTGCATGGCCCGGCTCCGGTGCGCCCTCGGACACCGGGGTGCTACGGCGGTGGAGCGGGCGGACCAGCGGCGGCGTGCACGACAACTGCAACCGCGGCAGCAGCATCTCCCGAGGACCGACGGACCCTGCACCCGGAGGAGGCGGAGAGGGCGCGGAGCCAGCCAGTCGCCCCTCCGCCCCCTGGGACGTCACTGCGGGGAGGGCAGCCCCGCCGGTTGGCCCGCTTCCGATGGCCTCCTCCCGCGCGCTCGGCGCCAGACACCAGTCCCGCTCGAGGGGAGCGAGCAGAGGAGAGGAGCCAGTTCCCCGCCCCACTCCGAGCTTCCCAGGGAGATCTTGTATGTGCCTAGGGCGCAGGGCCGAGGAAAAGTCCAGTCTGGCCTCTCTCAACTATGATGAAGAGAGCGCTGTGGCTAAAAACAGGACCGCATCTCGCCCCTCCCCTCGGGGGAATAGCCAAATTTATCCAGCGTCCCGAGGCTCTGCAGGGCGGGCCAATGGGAGGGGCAAGACACTGAGACCTACCTGGGGCTTGGTAGGCGAGTCCAGGCGCTCTCTTCACCCGAGAGAGAAATGGTGGATGCAGAGAATAGATGCTCAAGTAGGCAGTGTGCCCACTGGCCAGGCAAGCGATAGGACAGCGTGGATAGCGTTCAGGGAAGGAGGCTAAGTTGGAATTCTGGCTAAGAGGAGAGTCGCTCCACCCGAAACCAAAGGATGTCTCTGAACTCAGCAAGAAAATAATATATTCAAATAATAAAGTGAGCATCCTGTTCAAAAACTAAGGTACTAAGTGGCAAAAGGTGGGTCTGATTTTCTTGCCTTTTCCGCCATAACACGCTCTTGTGAAGCACAGCACAAGCCCCATCTGAGCTACTGACTTCTGGGTTTTGGTCTCAGCTTGAGCCACTGCAGTTCCAGACAAACAGGCCTGAACACAGTCTGGGGGGATCTGTTTTAGTGTGAGCTGATAATATGGGGAAGCTCCGTTGCTGCAGAAAACAGCAGCATCGGCAGGATGAGGACTGACCTTTATGGCAAGTTCATTTACAGCCCATCTTTATGTCCGAAGGAGAATATCTCACATCCAACACACGTTCTTTCCAGAAATTCCTGGTTATCAAATCAAAGAGAGAGCTGCTATGGTGAAAAGAAGCACTTGAGTTGGCATCTGATATTCTGTTTCCAATCCTGCTCTTCACTGAATGTATGTGTGGCCTTCGGCAAGTTTCTTTGCCTAAGTTTCAATTAATTCTTGCTAACACTAAAAGTTACCTTAAGAGTTTTATGAAAGTTTGATAAGGCAAACAGATATGTAAGTGTGCAGATAGCTGGGCACTTAATGTCAATTACAAAGGATTTATTTCCAATATTACAACATCTGTTACAACTCAGAGAAGCCCTTACCTTGGCCCAAATAATTAAATTGTGCCCTGAGTTCTCCCTTTGATACCCTGGCCCCTGGGCCAGATAGACTTTGTTAAGGTGTACAGTTGACCTAAGGTGGTAGATTACAATGGTGACCTCAATTCTTCACATCACCTGTATCCACACTCTTTACCCTGTGACTTTGCAGCTCCTCTTACTAAAGAGGCAGAGAGTATTTCCCCACTTATTGTCTTTGTGTTTAACCTGTGACTTGTTTGGCCAACAGAATGAGCCAGAAGTTTCTGAGCCTAGACTGGAAAAAGCCTCCCATGGTTTTGTTTGTTTTCTTGCTTCTCTGCCACTCTCTGAGAGGAATATAGCTCAGATATCCCACTGGTCCATGTACAATCCCAAAGAAGACACATGGAGCAGAGCTGCCTCAGTCAGTCAACAGACATGTAGTGATAAGCAGACCTGTCTTAGTGCTGTAGGCTGAAGCAGAGCTGTCTGGCCAAGCCTAGATCAGCCAAACCCCCAGTTGACCTGCAGATGGGCGAATAATAATAAATGTTGCTTTAGATCACTTTGTTTGCGGTATTGTTGCAGCAACACCTAAGCATGACACCTGGAAATGCAGAGGGGTGTCAATAGGGGAAGGCTGGTTGCCAAGAAAGCTCACAAAGTGGAATTTTTCTTGGTAAAATAGCCTTGGTCCAGGGTCCAATCCTTCGTTTGACAAGCTCAAACCCAATCTAAGATGCTAAGATATTTACACATTGAGAAATGTAATCATCAGGTAAACTGGTGTTTACATTGGTCTGTTGAGCACATACTCTCCCTTTGGGCCAGAGAAGATTTCTCCATGAGCATGCAGTCAGAACAAAGGGAATTAGTTAGATGATTTGAAAGTTTAGGCTTTGATAGCCTGCTGTGTCCATCTTCACAATAGAGATCTATCTGTCTGGCAGACAAACACATCATCCTGCTAGCGTTTCTTTTATTCTTGAGAGGGCTGAGATGAGATTGCCAATTTACAACTTTCTAAATTTCCCTTTTCTAGGCCTGCCTACCTTTCTTCTGTTCAAAACATTTTTCTCCAAATATGTTGTGGCAGAAACTGCTAGTTGTCTGCTAATATCCACTCTCCACTTCTTTTAGAGATAGAGTCTTTGAATTTTAACTAGGTAGATGCCCCCCCCCCCCCCATTTAAAGAGTATTTCCCAGCCTCCCTTGCAGGTATGTCCCTGTGATTAAGTTCTGACCAATGGGTCACCACTTCTCTCTTGGCACTGTGTAGTGGGAGCTGCATCTTATGGAGGTGATGTCCAGGAGTTGCAGGTAGAGGCCAAGAGTGCAGTGAACAGTGGTCCTACATAGAGCTGTGAAGCACTGGAGCAGAGCGTACAACCCTGAGTAGGACTGTCAGTTGGACAATGCAGAAGGGACAAACACTTAACCTTCTCTTTTCCAATTCTCTTCAATACCAAAGGGAATGACCTTTGAAAGTGAGGGAGGTCAGCACTGGGATTATGTACACGTGTGTAAGACATATGAATGCTAAGCCAGCTATTCACAGAACCAGAAGCAATTCATTCTTGACTTCAGACTGTTCCAGAGACTGAATAAACCAAATTTTGGAAAACGGATTTTTTTTTTGCAGCAAGAAGACTTTAAAGTTTGCAGGATCGCCCTTTTATTCTTATTTCCTTATTAATTGTTTTCACAGGTGGTCTGCAGGTTGGGACGTGTAAAGCCCCTGCTTCTTGTTTATCTGATATTCATAATGTAGACCAAATATAGCAATTCTGGAAATATCTTTCAAATGAAAACAAGATAAAAAGGAGTTTGAGAATGTGTAAGATGAGAAAGAAGATAATTGTGTGGTGTCAGATACAGTAGTGTCCAATAAATAAAAGAGATGCAAGTGTTCAATAACTGGTAAAATTCCTAGAAATGTTGCATATTTAATTTTTATTTCTTTGTCTATTTTAACTAAGTGATCCCAGTGATCCTGATGTAAGAGCAGGTTGTTTCAAAAGTGAAGATCTAAGTGAGCCATCCTCTACCATGTGTCAATCAAATTAGTCCAAGGCTTTGACTTCTTCTTGGTCTTCTTTATCTGACTCTGATATCACTTTCCTGTTGGCAGTAACATGAATCAGTTTCAAAACACAGAACTCTGTAGTTGTGAACACGATGTAGCATGAAAACAACTTTTGAAAGTTTCCCCAATAAGATTTACTGTCTTGGCTTCTGACTATGCATTAGATTTGCAACCAATTCTAAACTTACAGGCGGGAGAAGTGGTCATTCTACTGTGAAGTGTGATTTGAAGGGTGTGAGAGAAGACCTCCTAACCCTAAATATATTTTTCTCACTCAAGAGTCAAACTTCTGAGATTTCATCATTGATAATTGATTTTTTTGGGTTACCCATTGTTCCTTCTAGTCAGCTCTCTTTGAAAATGCAAATACTCCTGGGGTGGATAATAAACATATTGCTGCTAAAGCGTTACTATGTACACACTTTCTTGTTCTTTCTTTCTGATACAAGGGGCCTTGGATTATCCTAAGATCTGTTGGAGGTGGGATGGTAAGGGTGTATCTTTATGTGTAGGGGGTTTATGGCAGACAGGAAAGGATGGAGGGAGGAAAAAGAGGGCAAAATTAAGGTATTTTACAATTGTGTCTAAAATATTTTAAAATTTAAAAAAATGTTTATAAATTAATGTATAGTACAAAAACATCACTTTCTAAATTAGCTAATAATGAATTACATGATATGTGTGTGTGTGTGTGTATATATATATATATATATTTTTTTTGCCAAGGAAGATTCGCCTGAGCTAACATCCATTACCAATCTTCCTCTTTTTTTTTATATGTGAGCCGCCATCACAGCATGGCCACTGACAGACAAGTGGTGTAGGTCCGCACCTGGGAACCAAACCCAGGCCGCCAAAGTGGAGTGCACCAAACTTAACCACTAGGCCACGGGGGTTAGCCCTTGAATTACATGATATTTTTGAACTAAAGTTTTTTTGTTACAAACATCTTCTGAATTCCTACATGTAGGCTGTGTGCTAGGCACTTTGGGCAACCCAATTTCTCATGGAGCTTACAATATAGTCATAGACGAGTGAAAAATATACAAAAAGTAAAATAACAACTTAAGAGATAATAAGAGTTGAACAATTAAAGTAGTACGTGACTAATTGCCAAAAGAATGGTACACACGGTATACAACTACACTGTCGTATGGAATGGTGTAAGAAGCTCAGAGGAAGAAGAAGATGTCACAGTGAAATGGAATGAAATTCAAGTCTTCAGGACAGAGGAGGGAGAATGGGTAAGCTGATATACAAAAGGAATTCAGTAAGCATTTAAATCATTAAGGGAATTATTTGTTCAAGCTGTGAAATAATGTTTTACTCTTAGGTGGATCCACATGGATAGTAGCAGGAATGTTCTGATCATTCCTGTAAAAATATGCACAGAAATCTAAGGCACCCAGACATCTGTTGCTGCTATTCAAGTAGCAATCTCCATCTATTATTTGAATCAGATAAAGTGAATCTTTCGATTTGACTGGTTTGCTCCACCCTAGGAAGCTAAGTCAAATCATCCAGCTAAAAAGCAAGAAATTAAGTTGCTGAGCATTGTATAGACAATATAGCCAGGTGATTAAATGATATTTCCATTTTTGAGAAGTTTTTAAAATTATTGTAGACATATTCATTTTTCTTTAGTAACATTTGATAACTTTAAAGGGAGTCAGCTTCAATACCAATGAGATAAGAATAAGAATTCTATTACTTTCTAACTGTTCTTTCCCAGATGTAGTATGCAAATAAATATTTGTCCAATTAATGTTGAGTTAGCCACATTGGTTTTCAGTCATAATACAAAAATGGAGAGATTTTTTATTAGAGGTTGTTTAATGATTAATTGGTGATAGCTGGCTTCCTTTAAACTCTTCTGGACCACGTGTCTGGTCTTGCTCTAACATTATTCCAGGCATAAGGCCCAGCACTGTGAGGCTAAAGCCCTTGCTACGTGAATTTAGATTTAGCAACCTTAGGCATGCCATTGGTGGTATCAGAGCTGATAATCTAGAAGACCTGGTGATTTGCTAAAGATGGTGGGGCTAGGTGTGGGTAGGGGAGAAGGGAGCTGAGAGGGCATGATGGCAGGTAAATACAACACTCCAGGATGAGAAAGAAGGAGAAGAGAATGTGTACAGGGGTTCAAGGTTGATCTACTCTCCTGTTTGCACCAACTTATGCTTGTATATTGCACAGATATGCAAGGGGCACAAAGGCTTTAATGCAGAAGAGAAGAACGTTTATTCAAGGCAAGAAATCTCTAGAATGGTGGGCAAGTTTTAAGAAGATTTGAGGGTAGAGGGCAAAGTGACTAAGAAAAAAGAAGTGTTTTTTATGGGGGAACTAGAAAGGTGAGAATATTTTTGACCAAAATAAACTTACTTTGCTTTGTGTACTTTGGCCTTTGGTTTATAAGGAAGGGAAATCAGTTCTTTCTGAAAAAACAAGACAAAAAAACAAAATATAAATCAAAAAGAAAAATTTTTACTTCTTGCACTGAATGAAATTTACTTACCTGAAAAAAAAAATGAGGTAAAATTATCGCAGAGTTTATACAGACTAACTTCTTAAATCTTGAGATTGTGGGGTCAGAAATGTTCCCGATTAGGGAATTTGGGGTTCACTGAGGAGAGTGTGTATTTGTATATCCATAAGCCTACAGAGTGCGATTATTGTTTTTATTAAGCTCGTTTCTCTTCATTTAGTATTTGTTTTTGTATGATCTAAGCAAGATCAAGCATTATAAAACAAATATAAGCACTAAAGTAGCCCATGTTAATATCCTACAGTTTTATAATATGTGACAATAAGCCCACTGACACTAATGTCTCGTTTCTATGCCAGCAGAGCTGTGCACTCTGGAGATATCTTTGGTTTATCAACGACTGCCAAATTATTTGATGTCTATAACCTGCCCCACTCCAGTACATAGAAGGCTCTGGACGATGGGTGTCTAGATTTAAGGGGTCAATCTATAAAACCTCCGAGAATTTGCCATAGTTGACCCCCCTACACATAGATTTATCTGAATGTCTCACTATTGGTCTCACCGAGATCCTTGCTTCTCTTTGTTTTCTTAAGAGTTGGAGAATCTCATCTCTTCTTTTAGCCTGTTTAAAGGAAAAAAAAAAAAAGAGTGAGTCTTTTGACTTAATAATGAAACTTTGTGTCCATGGAGGGCAGAATATTTTCCATTTTGCTTCTTGTATTTTTTGGCAGAATTTTAAAATATTTTTTCCATGATAGATTTATACTTTTCATTTGTATCACAATCCAGTTTTTATTTCAGAGGATGCTCCTTTACAAAATAATTTTATTTTGATCCTAAATGGAAGGGGTTTTTCTTGCCCATCTAACAATAACTAACTTTTATTAAGACTTTACTACATGAACTATGCTAAGAACTTTATACACATTATGTCATTATTGTCTTATAATAATCCAGTTGTTTGACACTACTATTATCTCGTTTTACAGATGAGAAATCTGAAGATTACTAAGGTTAAATAACAAGCTATTAAGGGGCAGAACTGGATTTGATATCAGCTCTATTTGACAACAAAGCCCAAGCTATTGACCACCACACTAAATTGCCATTAAATGGTAGTAAGATACAAAATCAGCAAAGGTCAAACAGCATGCCACCACCTAAGTCCAGGACAAGGGGGCTTTTAGTAGCTTGTATACGGAACAGAGCCTTATCCTCTCATCTCTCTTCTGTCTTAGGTATTGAGATATGCACATTCTCAGGTAAATTTTCCTAAGTGTAAAAAACTAATTTAGTGCAAGCATGAAGATTTATCAAGATATAGACCATATAAAAAGAAGTAAATATAGGTACAAATTTTTTTTCATAGAATCCAGTTATGTTCCGTTTTGGAGATAGCCAAGTAGAAAAAGCTCATCTGGAGTATTTGGGAAAAAAAGAAAAATGACAAATAAAATGAGAATCTGACAAATAAAACTCATAGCTTTGAATGGCCAAATAAAATGAAAGAAGCTCTGTTTAGATCAAGGATAGAAGCAAGAAATAACCGGGAACAGACATAGGTTTGTCATAGCTAAGTAAAAATTCTAAATCATGCATCCATCCATCCATTCAAATTTGTTGAGATCTGCACTATTTTCCTAGGGCTGTAACAAAGTATCATAAACTGGGTGGCTTAAAACAACAGATACTTATTGTCTCACAGTTCTGGAGGCTAGAAGTCCAAAATCAAGGTGTCGACTGGGCCATGCTCCCTCTGAAACCTGCAGGGGAATCCTTCCTTGCCTCTTCCTAGCTTCTGGTGGTTTGCTGGGAGTTTGTGGCGTTCCTTGGCTTGCAGCTAAGTAACTCCAGTCTCTGCCTTTGTTGTCACATTGCTTTTTCTCTGTGTGTTTCTGTCTTCACATGGCCATCTTATAAGGACACCAGTCATATTCGTTTAGGGGCCCACTCTACTCCAGTATTAACTTAACTAATTTCATCTATAAGGACTCTATTTCCAAATAAGGTCACATTTTGAGGTACTGGGAGTTAGGACTTCATCATATCTTTTTTTGAGGGACACATTTCAATCCGTAATGAGCACCTAAGATGTACAAAACACAGTTCCTGCCTGCAAGGTGATTGCTGGTTTGTGGAGAAAAGACAAGTGAACAGTTTCAAATATGCTACATTGGGGTTAGTATAGGGTGCAATTAGAGCACTGAAGAGGGATCCTTAATTTCAGACTACGGTGTCTGTATCTGTGGGGGAGACCTAGAGAAGATGTCCCCGATGAGGTAATATCCAAGCTTAGACCTGAAAGTGGTAGTCACCGGATAACAACAGAGAGAGCATGGGAAAGAAAGCTTTTGAGCCAGAGGGAGCAGAGTGTGCAAAACCCTAGAGGATGCTGCATTGCTAAGTAATTCTTCAGTCCTGATGCCTGAAGAGAAGCTGCAAAGCTCAGGCATGCTCCACCGCCATGTGAGTGGAGGAACCGGTGCTGGGGCAGGAGTAATCAGCAGCTGGGCCAGGTACGCTGGTGCCTTAGCTTTGCATCATTCTGTTCAAGTTATCAATCCTGCCTTATATGAACCTTCAAAGTTTTTATTTTATTTATTTTGGGACAAGAATTCTACTTTTTACTTGAATTTTCGGCATCATATATTACAGTTATTGAAAGAAAAAAATATTCAGGGTACTTTTAAACCTAAGCTAAGTTTCACAATACCTGTTAACTTGCTACGGATTGAATAAAATAATGCCTGTAGATAAAGACCAGGGATATTTTCAATGTAGGTCTTCAATGTTAGTTTCTTTTCCAACTTTTCCATTACACATGTACTCAATTGGAATTAATTGCTCTCATCCTGTGATTACATAGTACTTTATACCTTTATGGTGGTATTGCTCTTACTCTCTCTGCTTTATCCTGTAGTTGCTACCATGGCTATTTCAGAGTCTTACTCATCTTTTTATCTTTCCTTAGAGCTTAGCACTGCCTTGTTTATGATACTCAATGAATTTTTGTTCAATTGCATTGAGTCATGATGTGTGAATGAAATCATTATACTGATACACAATTATTAGCCTAAACAAAAAAAGAAAAAATTTTTTAAAGTGAAATTAAACAGTGGGTAAGTTCAGTTCTTAAAATCCCCTATGAACAAAACTACATGATTATTTTCTGTGTAACTACTGGGTAGCCACATGCAAGTTAGATTGTCCTAATGCTTCCAATATAAAAACAGACAAATATTTAGTTACAAGATTCTAAAATAATAGTAGAATAAAAAAATCCATTCATTTTAAAATTTTGATTTCAAGTCCTTTTTTGTTATAATGGCCTAATCAGTTTTATAATAGAATGTAATGCACCAGATAGAAAGCTTTCAAATTTGATTTGATTTCTGCTTCCTGGACATGTTTCCTGGGAATGAATAACCAAACTACTGAAAGCAATTGTGTCATCAGAACAAAAACACTGCTGACTACTCTAAGAAATCTCTGCGAGGATAACTAAATAAATTCAGTGGTAAGAGAAAATCCTTACAATTTACCTTATTAGTAGGAATAAATAATTTACTTGTTAATTTCATAACAACAAAAGAATTCTCATTTATAATCATAGTGTTTTGGTTGTGTTCATTAATGGAATTTTATAAGACATTTTAATCATTTAATTTATTAATTCTTAAAATAATACTAGAAGGGGGTCAGAATTTATATTTATAATATTTTGATATTGGATATTTTCTTATACATTTTATTTATATTATTTATAGTTATATGCTATTCTTGAAAAAATAAATTATGGAATAAAAATTGATTCCTGGAAATTAGGATATGATAATATATAAATTTAATGTCTCATAGAAGGTTAATGAATTTTAGTGTCACTTCAAGAATTAAATTGCTTAGTTTTCTATTTTGGCTTTTCAGAGCCAAACAACTTGGGTGGCAACATAGATTAGTGGAGTCAAATATATTTGGGCATTTGTGTTTGAATCCCAGTTCTGCTGTGTGATTAATAGCAAGTAATACCTTAACTGTCGCTCCTGGTTCCTCCTTTCTTCCCTCCGACTGTAATCACTAACCCATAGATTAGAGGTTTGTGATCTTGGGTAAATCAAAGAACTACTTCTTTGAGTCTTGGATTTCTCATCTATAAGGAAAGTTGTCGTGAAAATTGGAGATAATGCAAACATCACTTAACATAATGCATGGCTTGTGGTGGATATTTCATAAATGGTAGCTATTATATCATTATTATTATGAGGGAAAATTTTTCTTTCGATGCTATCAAAATGTGGAAGAGTGGAAAAAAGAAGAGAAGGATGGATTGCCCACCTTTCTGTGTATAGGCTTGGAGGATTTCTGATGATTCAACCTCTGACGTCTGGATGAGTTGGTGAATAGAGTTGGAAGGAACAAAGGAGAAAGAGAGGGGTATCTAAGGTATTATTTGCCCTTAATTACGCAGTGCAAATTCCTCTGCCCACAACTTCTCCAGTGTATGATAAATTTTCTCCTCAGTTAATCTTCAGTTATAAAAAAGCTTGCAATAAAAACTAGACTTTAAAAGAAAGGTCCTTTCTTCTCAAGACCTGATTCTTATATGAAAAATGCATTTCTTCCTTATAATATGATTGAATTTTTTTTGTGTGTGTGAGGAAAATTGGCCCTGAGCTAACATCTATTGCCAATCTTCCTCATTTTGCTTGAGGAAGATTGTCGCTGAGCTAACTTTTGTGCCAGTCTTCCTCTATTTTGTACATGGGACACCACCACAGCATGGCTTGATGAGCAGTGTGTAGGTCTACACCTGGCATCCGGGCCTGCGAACCCTGGGCCACCGAAGCAGAGCAGGCGAACTTAACCACTACGCCACCAGGCCGGCCCCATGATTGAAAGTTTTTGACTGAAACCTTCTTCAAAAATAACATATGGTAGTGTTTATTTCTCTGATTACCTACCTATATTACCAAAAGAAACTTTCTCTTGACTACCATAGTATAAAAGCCAAATTACTGAATTTAATCTTCAGAATATCTTAGAAGAATATTGAATTGATTCCAAAATCAGCTCTTTGCTTAGTTACCTGGCAACCATCCCAATACTTAGAGAATCCAGAAACTCCTGAAACCAGAGTGGTATAGCAGTTAAGCACCTTGGCTCCATTGTCAGATGGACCCAGGTTCAAACTGTCTTTACTGTGTTTCAGCTGTGTGACCTTGAAAAAGTCACTTACGTGTTTCAGCTTCAGCTTTCTGGTCTCGAATAATCTATCGTTATGATGCTTCTCAGACAGAGTTGTTCTGAGGATTACATAAGAACGTGAGTAAAGGACTGATAGTGTATATGCTATATAGTTATTTCTCAACAATACTATTATTATATAGTGAGAGGGGCAGATGTTCTGTAAGAAAAAAACATGAAGAAGATAGACCAAGAAGCACTGGGGGAAATGTATTAGTGAAAATGGAAATTAAAAAAATTTTTAAATTTTTTCCACTGAATATAAATACAATATATATTCATGGTACAAACATCAGAAAACGTGAAAGAAGGCACATAAAGAAAAATAATATTTACACAAATCCATTGCTGAATCTAAAATCTTGATATGTTTAAATTTTT